TGGTTCAAGCTTGTAATACCATCGAATGGCAAGAGGTCCCAAACTGCTAGGGAATATTCGGTACATGAGCGCTTCATCATCTGCATGCAGTGTTGTTGCTTGTTTGTAATGACGAACGTGATTTGTGGGGTTCGACTTTCCATTGTATAGAGTGAACGATGGTGCCTTAAACTTTTTAGGCAAGACAACCTTTGCAATTCAACAAACAAAAGGGTTGTTACTGTCTTCAGAATTTGAGTCTTTCTTCTTTCGTATGCATTGAGCCTGCAAAGAATCTTCTCCATCAGATGAATTGAAATCATCAGCTCGAGTTCGTTTCCTAGGTTCCAACCGAGATGAATTTGAAGTGCTACTATCGTGCCTCCGAGGCTGACGTTGTCGCCTCTTTTGCCTACTTGGTGATTGACCTCGTTTACGGCGAAGTGGCAGCTGTTGGGACTTTGCCAACTCCTGACGCAAACGCTCGTTCTTCGCTGCCATGTCCTCGAAACGTTGTTCATTAAGTTGCATTTGTTTCATCAAGGTTTGTATGGCATCCTCTATGGATGTTGAAGGTTGAAATGGGGTTACCAGGTCAAAATTCAGAGACCTCCTTGCGGGGGTTTCTTCTGGACCAAAAGTTATTCTTGCTATAACATTATCAACTCTGGCAACTGGAAGATCTTGATTTAGGTTCGCCATGGATGAGTTCGAGTATTTCTATAGATGACACCAATTGTGGAGATAGTGACTTTGGAATACTCCTTCAATCTAAACAAGCCCTTGACAGATCTTCCAATTGTCACTTGAATAGAAGAAAAGCTCCGATTGGTGGTGCCGGAATTAGCACTTCGACAAACAAGTCAGTTTCTCTTCAAAGAGTAGTTTCAAGTTTCTTCGAGTGCAAGTTTTTTAGAACCTCCCCCTCTCTCTAACCTCTTCCCCCTTTTATAGAGTCATTCTCCTTGATTTTTGCTTTCTGTAGCTTAGTCCCTCATCATCACTTTGTCAGGGTTCATCCTTCTACTATACTCTGTAGAAAGGGACAGTTTGGACCCCTTAATGTGGTTCTGCTAACTTACCCGACATACTGGGCTCAAATGTGTGGCCCAAGTACCCTTAACTCGGCATGCTCTTCATCCTGTTTTTGTATCTATGCGGCAATAAGTCTAAATTTAGTGGGCTTTGACCGAACCAAGCCCATTAAAGATGGGCTTTGATGTACTCTGTTTGCCAACTTAGATTTGTTTTTACTTGGCTCCCACAATAGAAAATCTCTTCACTTATTCGGATGGTTAAGTAAGTGAGAAATAGTGAGAAAATAATTATCACCAAACCTATGTTTTGTTTTTCACTAAAAGTGAGGTGAGAAAGAAATTGGGTATAATAAAATTTTTCTAAAATACTAAAATTATCCTTATAAAAAAAACATTATTTATTAATATGAAAAGTAATTTTGGTAACATGAAATATAACACTTTTCTCTTTTTTTTTTTTCAAGTTTTATGATTGTTTATTTTTTTTTTTTTTAACTCTATCCAAACAAGATAAATGAAAAACCACATTCTATTCTCTTTTATTCATCCAAACATAATGGTGAAAACTATAATAATTTTTTTATTTTTTTTATTTTCTCACCTAGGTGAGAAATCATAATCATTTCTTTTCTCACCTCACCTCACGATCCAAATGGATCCATAGCAAGATGCGTGACTTACGCTCTATTAATTTTGGCAAAAAACATTAACAATGAAAAATATTACGAAAACTTTTTTTAAAAAATGTTTTGTGCATAAATTGTTTTTCGTTGTTTGGTTGCATTCTCTAAAATAATGTATTAGTTGTTATATAAGTGGTGGTGGTGGCGGCGGTGACGGTGGCAGTGGCAACATGTGGATGTGGAGGTGGTAGTGGTGGTGATGGGGATGGGGTGGTGGAGGTGATGGTGATAGTTGTAATGTGATGACATTAGTAAAATTTTAATTCAAAAATATTTTCACATTTTAAAAGTGAAAAAAATATTCATTTAAATAAACTTATTTTCCGTTAAATTTTTATTTTTCATCGTACCAAATACTAGAAAGTACAAAAGATATTTAAAAAAAAAAAAATTAAAAAATTCTTTCAAACAAAAGTAGCGTTAAATTGTAACTTAGCTCAAATGATGAAAACAAAGACGATGCATCTAAAAGGGAAAAGGAGGGAAAATGAAGGAAAATAAATAAGCTGACCATTGGTGTTGTAAATTATGGGACGAAAAGTGTTACAAATTTACAATTTGCACTCTCAAATTCAACCATGGTTAGAGAAATAAATCTTACATAATTAAATGTGACAAATTAAAAATTAACATTTATTATATCACATTTTTGTGGGTTAAATTGTGAAAAAACATTTGGAAAAATCACTAGTTAGTTGAATGTTGAAAAAAAATTAAATTAATGATAAAATTTATAAATTTTGATAGATGTAATTATTTTTGAAAAATTGACCTAATTTATGATTTTCTCGTAAAAAAATTCTACGTCTTCAGCATTTTCAGGAACTGTTCTCTTTTCTTATCAAGAACTTGTGAAGAAGAGATTTGGGATGAGTGCTGTCACATTACCTTGATACAAAACCCCATTAGCCATTTTAATGGGTTTGGGTTTTCATTAAAAAAAAAAAAAAAAATCAGTGGAAGCATGTACCCCTAGAAAATGATATCATTCGGGATGAGCATTAAAAATTACAAGATGGTAAATTACAATTGGTACCCCTTCTTGTTCACTAAAATCTAACTTTAATTCTTTTATTTTTAATTGTAACAGTCAATCCGTTACTCTTTAAACCAAGTTTCAATTTTATACTTTCGTCTATCTACTGAAATTTGAAAATGAAGACTAAAATAAAATTTTGATGAAAACATAACGACTAATGTGAAATTTTAATAAAAGTATAAGGATACTAATGAAATAATAAAAATATCACACATATTTCAAATGATAAATTCTGTCAACTTTGTTAATGATAGATGGATGAAAAGGTAAAATTATAACTTGATTTAAAATACAAGAGGTTGATTGTTATAATCAAAAGTAAAAAAAAAATGCTTGACTTTTGTTTGAGATGTGAATTAACTTTTTAACTATTTTAATCTCAAATTAAAAAGTCTAATTTGAGATAGATGTTTTGATTTTTTTTAAAAAAAAATTGTGAAAAAAAAATAAAATATTGATAATTTGAATGTAATATTTTATTTTATTAATTTTTTAATTTATTTTATTATTATGACTATTTTAAATTTTTAACCTCCCAACTTTAGATGCCAAACGTGGGCCAAGTGTAGTTAACCTACCAAGATGGATCAAGCACCTCGGCAGCCACCGTCAACACCACGCTCGTCATCCTCTCTCAAACGATCAAGCACACTGACTGACAGGCATGGTCTGCTTAGTGTCTTATGATTTCAGTCTAAGCGCTGGTTTGGAAAGTTAAGTTAGGGTGGGTTAGGATTAAAATAATTACAAAAAGATAAAATAAACTTTTTAATTTCAGACTAAAAAATATCACATCTAAATCATAATTTTTTTAATTTTTTTTTATAAAAATAAAAAAAATCTATCCCAAATGAAATTTTTTAACCGCAGACAATAACCAAAAAGTCAAAGTAAAATCACACCCCAAACAAAGCCTAAATTTGGTGTTCATTTTAAATTTGGTTTTCATGTTGTTTCAAGGTGAAATCACCAAAATTACTCACAGCATTCAACATACAGGTTGAAAAATAGAAGGCATCATCAGCTGACCATTTGGATAGAAACGATGCAGAACAACAAAATCCTTATTTACTATTCGAGTTTCAAAGGCAATGACTTTATACAGCTTTTATATAAAACACCAAGATAGTCTGGTCATCCTAATTCAACGAATGTAGAAGAAGAAATCTCGTGGAATGAATCTAGGGGTATGTTTGATTGGAAGGATTAGAGCATGGGATTGAGATTATTAATCCGTGGACCCAATTATCCTATGTTTGTTTTGACAATTTGTTTTAGGATTATTAATCCAATGGATAATTAATCTAACAAATTTGTAGAATTATTAATAATGGGGTAGGGGTGGGATTATGAATACCACACTAATTTGATAAGATTATTTATACTTCACTATTAGTAACGTGGAATCAAACAAGGCCTAAGTGTATAACTTGGACGGGCTCAACCCAAGTAATCCAAACTCAGTCCGAATTTTTTTAAGATTTAGACAATATATTTTTAAATTCGATACAAGCTTAAGCAAAGACGTCAAACAACCCAAATAACCCGAAATTCGAATTATACATATATAGATATATAAAAATATTAAATGTAATTTAAATTATTAAATCATATTCAATATATATTATATATACGAATAACATAAAATTTTATTTTTTTTTTATTTTCACTCATAAATTGTAAAGACTACTATAACGACATCTCTCTTACATTATATAAATTATTTGTTTTGGTGGTATTAATAATTTTCTATATAAAAAAAATGTAAATATAGTCAAATTTTAATAATTTAATAATGTAGCTGGAAAAAAAAATTAAAATTCATTTACAATTCAAGCAACTCGAGCAATTCGGATTTAACTCGGGTTTGGCTTGGACAGGCAACCTCGGATTACAATTCGGGCCTAGACGGATCTCAGCACAACTTGAATTAGGCTTAGACAACCTCTCAACCCACCCGAATCTGTCTGAGTAGTACCCCTAAATGAACCCCAGTATTTAAAAGTAACTACCAGATTCAACACAATCTAATAATTACCACGTTCGCATAAGGATCCACTTTGCTCACATGGTAGTTTATTTTTGGATGGTCAAATATGTTTGCCTAAATGTCTTGGCAAGTTGGCAAAAGAATTATTGAGTAAAGATTAGTGATATTTTATCAGTAACAATTGTCATAAAACACAAATGGCTATTAAAACATCACATTATGCCTTCACATGCTTACCAATACTTGTAATGCATTAACTAATATTTCACTTATATATAAAGAAAGATAGATAGATCACATATAAATATATATGTCAGAAAATATGTAGTACACATCAAAGTTCTCGCTGCATCAGATTAAATAACATATGTTTTCCACTCTTTTTTTTTATTTTCTTGGCTATAGATAAAGCCAAGAGATCATATAACAATCCATAAACAAGTAGGTGCAATAGCAGAGTAGCGGAAATCTTGACCAACCACAGATTTTCACACACAACATAGCAAACAAACACAAACTACTCACAAAGAGAATGCACAGCAATCTCTTCCATAGTATTATGTAGAAGCAGCACAAAACAACATTTCCAGACCTGGGAACTCCATAATATCCTGCAAACAACATCCACAACAGATCAACAAAGCAAAAGACAAAAAGAAAGGCACCCTTAGAAGCCGAGTCACTCTATGCATGACAAAATAGGTTCAACTTGCTCAAACAAGAACTTGAGTTAGACCATCTCCTCGAACATATGTTACATAGACTCAGATATGGATGTTTGGTATTCGCCAACTTGGCAAAATAAGGGTTATATTTTTATATTTTTAAACTATTAAGTGAGATGAAATGGTATCATATATAATGTAGTGTTAAAAGAGGTATTTGATTTATAGACAGCAATATATATATACATATATATATAAAATAGTGTTAAATACATATCTCACACCATTGTTTATTTGGTTTATTTTGAAGAGTCCATGTAACATGCCTGAAACTAGCTATCTTAGTTATTGTTCTAAGAGGATTAAAAATGTAGCTAGTGGTTTGGCTAACCAAACATGAAAAAAATATTACTTTTCTATTTTAAAGATGTTGGGTTGAGTTTATAAAAAATTATTTTAAATTAAAAAGAAAATAGAGTTTGTTGAAGACTGTATTTACGAAAGATAGCCAGCTAAAAAAAAAAAAAACTAAAATTTGATTAAAAATTTATTAGTTTGATGGAGATGCTCATACAAAGGTACAAGAGCAGAGTGAAGAGGACATGGAAACTTTGCCACAAATTTCACACCTTTAATAGTGTTCAATAACTTACAGTAGGGAATGATCTTCCAACGCTGATTGTCGCCCTTCTTCCACTCCCAAAGAACAATAGTAGTGCCATCGTGAACACCTCCATGATTTTTATCACCATTAAAAGCATCGACATTGAGGCGAATGTTATTAACCATCCTTATTGTTCTATGACCATCACCCAAATCCCTGCTCTCGGTCCATAGGACCGACTCATCAAGAACATCCGGGTTGTAATCTATCAGTTGCACCTGCAAAAGAATTTTAATAGACCATATCAATATTTAAAAATAATAATAACAGATTCAAAGAAAGGACAAAAGTGGCTATTTATTGTTTTGGACTTACAAAAAGGTGGATTGGTCATATATAGCCTAAAATGACAAGACTGTAAATGCACATACACAATTAAGCCACATAAAAGTATATGTACATATCAACATGATAGAAACCACCTCTGATGAATCCCGTCAACATGTCCAATGGAATTCATCATATGTGCCCTTCTGGCAGCAATCCAATGGATTGCATCATATATGCCCCTGCTCTGCAGCTCTTTACTTACAGCACAACTTGTGGGATCAATGGAATACATTTCAAGGCCCAGCTATAGTTATAGAACATTTCAACAATGTGACCGCTTAGTGCAAGAAGCAAGGAGGTCAGCCTTTTGCGGAATCTTCACGGGGGGTTTTGGAGCTGTGCTGTAGAGGGTATTGGTCTCATTGACATAGGTTTCCCCGATAATCCTTTTACATGGTCAAACAACACAATTGGTCTTGCAAACATTAAAGAGATATTATACAGGGGCTTAACTAATCCTGAATGGAGGGCTATGTTCCCCAAGGCCACATTTGATGGCTGGATTATTTTTTGTTGTATTAGACATGAAGCGATTATTAATAAGATTGTGAGGAATAAGTTACATCATGGGATTAAATGGGATAAAAGATTGTATATATGATATATGGATAGGATTATGGGGATAAGTTATACCATGAGATTAATGATTGGATAGAAAGAGTGAGATATTATATTTGGTTAGAATGAAATAAAAATACGTAATTAATTTTTACTGTTGAATGAAGAAAAAAAATAATCCAAAGAAGCCTCGTTGTTCTAATACCACACTACCTACAGTATTAATTAATCTCCCCACTTTTCTCTATTTAATTCTCCATACCAATACTAAAATTATCCTAAGTTGAGTAACCATACAAAACCAACATTAGATTGGACTATCCAGTAGGACCTACATGTTCCTCACCTTCAATCCTTTCCTCCTTATCCCACAATCAATCAGTAAAAAAAATTGAATATGACATTAGAAATATGACAATTGGAGTCCATGTTCCTACGGTATTGACTTTTAATTTTATTTAAATATGACATTAGAAATATATTTGCATTTACGATTTTGCTAATACAAAAAAGGAAAAAAAAAAAAAAATAAGATAAGACTATTATATATCATGAGATTAATTTACATAGGTTTAAAATAATTGAACATATTTTTAAAAAAAAAAATTAAATGAAATAAATAAATTTTATATATACTTGAAGGTTAATTTCGTCATTAACTAGTTAATCCGGAGATTGGATCAGTCTGCCCATTTTCATCCCATGCCCCCCATGAGATTGAGTTATCCCATGTATGGGTGATTATTAGTCCAACTGGATCAGACTAATAGTCCGAACTTCATTTTTTCAACTATCCATTTTGTTGGACATGGAGTCCAAGACCTTCATTTTTTCAACTATCCATTTTGTTGGACATGGAGTCCAATCCCATGCCCTAATCCCACCAAACAAACCATGGCCCAAAGGTGTTATAAAGTATCTTCTTCGTACTATTGAATCAGATCTATCCCTGGGTATTATAAAGGCACTTATACTTAGATTATAGGGAGCTTATTTCTAAAGGAGCATGTTGTGTATTCATCTAAATTTGGGTGTTCGCTTTAGACGTTGTGCTTTCAAAATTATAAGTGTTCAAATATAGTATGATTAATAGGAGGCATAAATGATATCAATTTGCATCCAATTGTGTTAGACAAGTGTGTTCCAGTTTCGAGCAAAGTAAGAATTACATGGTCACTACTTCAACAAAAGACCAGATTATTGGTATAAATGTAGATCGGTTGAGTATTGGTGTTGATCTACAGCGATCGGGATTCAAAAATATGGTCATCATCACATAACCACTAGATCACAATTAACAGATTATAGTAGCATAAAAAACGAAAAAGAAAGAAAAGAAACATACAGGTTGAGTAGCTCCGACGGAGTGCTTGATAGCCTGACCAGTGGCCTTATTGACCAGAGCAAAGCTGGGAAAGCCCTCTTCATCCTTCACTCTTGTACTGAACTTCTCATCTTTGATCCAGTGCTACAAATTTACAATAATACCCAAAGATCAAACAATGATCAATCAATCAATCCCACTAATCAAACTCGGAAACTGGATGGAGAAGAAGAAAATTAAGAAACCTGGAAAGGATCGGAGTGATTGGAGCGGGCAAGGATGACCTGGCCGTCACGGATAGTGAGAGAGAAATTACTCTCTGCTTTGGTGACAACCCTAACAGTTGGTTTTCCAACCAATTCGGAGAGCTTTCGTTGGTCGTGGTGGTGCATGAAAGAGGGCATATGGGGACGATGGTGATGCCGATCAGCTTCATCTTCATGAGCCACATGTTGGACATTGACTGCAGGCTCGGATGATGAATAATAACCAGGCTGTTGTGGAGGATAACCTTGATGAGAGTAATTGGGTGGTGGTGGTGGCTGAGAATGATGATGGTATGGTTCTCCTGGTCCTCCTGGTCCGCCTCCATACACATTTGGTGGCGGTGGTTCGTAATATGACGGCGGATGTCGTGGTGGAGGCCCGTCGAAGGAGGGTGGCGCTGGTGGTGGGTACTCTTCGTCTCTTTCTTCCCTGCGGTGGTGGGAGGAGTGAGAGTGGTGGCTGTATGGGAACTCCATTTTTTATCTGATCTGCGAGTTGTGTGTGTAATGCGCCTTCTCTTCTTATATAGGTCAGGAATTGGCTTTTGGGCTTTCAGATCTCTGATTTGTGCAACTTCGGTACCGGCACCAGATATACCTGCTATTGGCTAGTGCATTAGCACTTTCACTTCTTTTCTTCTTTTTTTTTCTCTTTTCTTGTTTTTTATTATTATTTATAATTAAAAATGTTTTATTTTATCAAATCCATTTTAGTTTTGAATATTTTATTAGGTCTTATTTAAGTTTTATTTGTCATAATTTAAAAAAATTAAAAATTTAAAATTATTATCCTATTTAAGTCACATTATTTTATTTAAGTTACCCCTTTTCTCTATCATATTACTTCAAACCGAACCCATACTCAATCCATATTTCATAAAAAGTTAAAAAGTGCACTTGTTTAGATCATTCCAAACAATCCATTAATATAATATAATTAAATTATTTTTTATATTTTTTACACATTTTTATTTATAACTAATACACAATAAAAAAAATAATAGTTTCTCATTTTATGAAGAAAATCTCTGTCTTATTATATTGAGAAAATATCTCTCTCATTCTAAAGAGAAAATCTCTCTCTCATTTTAAGGAGAAAATATCAAATTATAAATTTTTAACTTTTTTATAATATGAAAATTTTAAAAATAACGCAACAAAAAATCCGAACGAAAATCAAAATATAACGTGAATGTTCAAAGCAAACAACAAACTTATGAGTAATTTTTTAAAAAATAAAACACCTACTAAAATGTAATAAATAATAAACATATAACTAACTTCCAAAAAAAAAAACTCATATTAAAATATAATGTGAATGTTCACAGTTTACAATTAATATAGAACTAGCTTTAAAAAAATAAATTTATACCAATGTGAACATTTACACTTCAACGTGAAAATATTAAATAAAATTGAAAAAAAATGAAAATCGACTATTACGATTATTCAATGTTAACAAAAATAATTACTCAACCAACAAGAATAGTAACAATCAACAAACATACAATTAACTTTCAAAAAAATAAAAATCAGACCGAAATATATTATGAATGTTCACAATTTATAATTAATATAAAATTAGCTTTAAAAAAAATAAACTCATACCAATGTGAATATTTAAATTGTAACGTGAAAATATAAAAGAAAATTGAAAGAAGTGAAAATCGACTATGTCGATTGTTTAATAATAACAAAAATGATTGTTTAACCATCTAGTAACGAAAATAGTAATTATACAACTAACTTTTAATTTTTTTAAAAAAAAAAAATTCATACCAAAATATAATGTGAATGTTCACAATTTATAATTGATATACAACTAACCTTAAAAAAAACTAAGAGGTTGTGTGGGAAGTACTAAATAAGGATATTTTTTAAATTTTTACAAAAAAATATGTAGAAAAGTAAAGAGATAATGTGACTAAAAAAATATTAAAAGATAAAAAAATATACTTTTTCAATATATGCCAAACAAAATTCATATTAATGTGAACATTCACACTGTAACATGAAAACCTGAAACAAAACGAAAGAAAAAAATCCACTATTCCAATTGTTTAATAGCAAAAAAAAATAATAATAATAATAATTGTTCAAATAATAAGCTTAGTAACAAAACTTTTTCAATATATGCCAAACAAAATTCATATTAATGTGAACATTCACACCGTAACATGAAAACCTGAAACAAAACGAAAGAAAAAAATCGACTATTCCAATTGTTTAATAGCAAAAAATAATAATAATAATAATAATTGTTCAAATAATAAGCTTAGTAACAAATAATATAAAAAAAATTATCAAACAATATATAAAATATCATCAAATAGTTCATATATATTGACACACCATTTAAAAAATATATATATATATAATCAACACCGATATAATACCCGCGAATAAATTACACAATACTGGTCGCTAAACAAATCGATAAAGAGATTACGGTTTATGTGTAACAATGGTAAAAAAATAATTGTTTATCGCTGGTTTATTATCATTTCTATTGCGAGTCCACCATCAACTCTATTATCAGTCTACAACTAACCTTCTATTTAAAATATTCTTTCATAGCAGGACCTTAATACAAAATAATAATGAAGGAATATCCTTGATGAAGTAAATCCATCACATTGAGATAAAGAAAATATCAAAAATAATAATCTTCTATATTCTATATATAATATTTTATATATACCACAAATAAAATACATTTAATAATGATATTATCTCTCCAAGATATATGGTATAATATATATGTATATATATTATAATAAAATTCTATAATGGTAAAATAGTTTACATAATAATTTTAATATAAGAAAAATAACCTATTAGAATATAAGTCCAAATATATAGAACTTGATGGAATATTAAAAAAATTTATGGACTTATTAGACTATAAGTCTATTAAATGAGATTTATAAATAACTCTCCCTTTAAAAATTCAAAATTCATTTCAAATCGTTTCATCAAAGATGTTCACCTCACTTTCTAGAAAATCAAACTTTTTATTTTTATTTTTTTGTTTTTATTAAATTTTTGAAAAAAAACTTTAAATTTTCTTCAAAAATACGAAAAATAAAAAAAAATGAATACATTTTCAATTTTTGTTGTATTCAATGAATTTTTTTTTAAAAAAAATTCTACAAATTTTATACTTTTTAAATATATCTAGATTAAATTTATCTAATCTAGATATAATAGCGAAAATAAAAATGAAAAATTAAATTTGTATATAAAAATTTATACCAAAAAATCAACAAAAATGTTGTGATAGTGATATTATTGTAAATATAAATCATGTTTATATGTGTTTTGTTTTAAAATGAAATGTCATTATTTTTAAAAATTCTATATAAAATTTATGTTTGTATATCATCGCTTAATAAGAATATGTTCAGGTAGAATTTAATGATAGAAAGTTGAAGAATGTAGTCATGATAATAAGAAGAAGAAATGGTAGGAACATTGACCAGATGGTCATTTAGAAAATTTTAATATTTTCATAATGTCTAAGGTCCCTCAACATTGAACCAGAGAAATTTCAGTCCAGAGGAATTTCAGCCCAGAGAAATTCCAGCCCAGAGAAATTTTTTCTAGAGAAATTCTATTTAGAGAAATTCTGGGCTTCAAAAGAATTTCTCTAGGTTCAAGACTTTGAACATTCAAATTTCTCTAGATCTATGGACTAACATAAAAAAAAAAAACCACAATATCAGCAGCCCTCAAAATGACACACCATTTGTCTTCATTTGCACTTTGAATGAACACATATCAACACTGTAGAAGGTGATCAATCTTGTAATCAGACATGACAAAGTGAATGCATAGAAATCCATAATAAAGTACCCATTCTTAAATGTTAAAATCAGTGCCTTTGATTTTATCCAAAATGCAAACTCAGAGAAAATCTATATGATAGGCAATAGAACATTTTAATGTGCAATCTCTGGGTTTTTTTCCCCCTGATATATGATATTCTAGTTTTTCGCTTGCCCATTATATGTTGGAAATCATATAGATTTATTATTACTTCTGTATATGTATTACTGTATGGTTGATTAAGAGAAAATCTCACTCGAACCCAGAGAAAATTCAAGGATAATTCAGAGAAAATTGTCAAATTCAGAGAAAATCCAATCCAGAGAAAATTTCCAAATCCAGAGAAAATTGTCAAATCCAGAGAAAACTGGCCAAATCCAGAGAAATTCAACACTGTCAACACTATCATTGATATGTACATGTGAACAATTATAAACCTTTAAATTTAAATTTAGGTATAAAAATGCACTGTTAAGGAATCACATATCCTGTCTGTTTTTCGTAGACTCGATCCAAAGTCAGCATTAAGAAATCTAGAGTGATATGTAAGTAGAGAACTCAGATTCAGTTTCTACTCATATGATGCATCAATTCAGACAAGAAGCAACCATTTTTAACTCTTGAATACATAAAATTGATGAATTATGTATTTTATAAAATCTCGAATCATCTTATTACAAAAATCTCAGCTATTCACATTAAACTCCACATTTCTAGATTCAAATAATAAATAACCATAAAACAAATTGAAAAAAACAAGAGAGACAAAGTCACATACCAGACTATTACAATTGATACATCTCCAATTCTTCAGAAGCTTCAAAAGGCTGCAAATGATCCTTTCGATTCTCTCTTCTTCCTTCACTCGGATCAGCAGTGACCCAAATCGGATTTCCGGGCACATATTGGATTGCTTGTCTGTGTGATTTATTGTATTGTGATGAATCCCAAGAGCATTGTGGACTTGTGTGTGTGTGTGTGTGTGTGTATGTGCGCGTGCTAATCTCGTAAAGTAATCTTCAGAAATGTGGGGGTGAAACATAAATCTGGTTTTCTAAATGTCCAATTACTTCTTCTTAAGCGTCCATTTTTTTACACAAATTCCTCAGTTTCAGGAGCAAACCCTCGTCGTCATCAACTTCGCCTTTTCCACCACCGTCGTTGCTGCCAATGTCATCGAGAGTGGCCGCCTTACACTGCTGGACCTTAATCGATATTCAAGTTGCATCACAAGTTCTGATCTTGTTCATCAATGAGGTTTTGCTCGAGAGACGAGAGAGATAGAGCAAGATTTGGTAATGGAGAAATTGGTAGAGAGAGAAGTCAAATTTCTCTGTGTGGGGTTGAAGGACCTTAGACATTATAAAATAATATTGTGGATCTCTTCCATTACTAAAAATGGGAAAGGGACCTTAGACTAATTTTCCCTATATGATACTGGCATATATAGAGTTGTAAATGAGCTGAGCCAAACTTTAATATATTTGGACTTATTTATTAAGATTTTAACAAATTCGAGCTCAATAAAAACTTGACGTCCCGAGCTCAACTCGAGTTGATTTAAGCTTGACTCGAACTCAAATCTATTCATGAGCTTTAATGAGGTAAAGAAATTATAAATTTATAATTGCGTATGAGACTAAAATTACGTTTGAAATTTTAATTATACAATTATATATAATATATATAAACATATTAAAAGAAAATTTAATATCTTACCAAAATAATAATATTATCTACCACCACTAT